CAGGGGGGCTCCGTGTGCCCCAATCCCAATTTGGGGAGGGGGATCCGGGGGGGCTCCGTGTGCCCCTTTTTTGGGTGGGGGGACATTTGGGGTTTATTTTTGGGGGGATTTTTTGGGATTTGTGCCTTTTCTGGGCGTTGTTCTTGGAGGTTTTTTTGGGGAGATTTTTTGGGAATATTTGGGATCTGGGATTCCCCTGGGGGGTTTTTTGGGGAGATTTTTTGGGGGGATTTTTTGGGATTTGTGCCTTCCTTGAGGTATTTATTTGGGGAGATATTTTGGGAATATTTGGGATTTTTTCCTCCCTTGAGGGATTTATTTGGGGAGATATTTTGGGAACATTTGGGGTTTTTGCCTCCACTTGGGGAGATCCATTCTGGGGAATTTTTTAGGAATATTTGGGGTTTGTTCTTCACTTGGGGAGACCCCTTCTGGAAGGTTCTTTGGGGATGTTTGGGGTTTGTGCCTCATTTTTGGAGATTTATTTGGGGGGTTTTTTAGGGAATATTTGGGGTTTGTGCCTCACTTGTGGGGATCCTTTCTGGAAAGTTCTTTGGGACCGTTTGTGCTCAGTCCCTGCCCGGTTCTGGGGGGCTCTGGGGGGGCTCCAGGGGTATTTGGGGGCTCTGGGTTGGTTCTGGGGGTCTCTGGGGGCTCAGGGCGGGCTCAGGGCAGGCTCTGGGGGTGCTCTGGGAAGATTTTGGGGCACCCTGACCCCCAGCGCAGGTGCGGGCTCTGCAGGGGCTCTGGGCAGGCTCAGGGGGGTCTCTGGGAGGATTTTGGGGTGCCCTGACCCCCCGGCGCAGGTGAGGGCTCTGGGTTGGTTCTGGGGGGCTCTGGGAGGGTTTTGGGGCGCCCTGACCCCCCGCTGTAGGTGCGGGTTCTGGGTTGGTTCTGGGTGGGCTCTGGGGGGCTCTGGGCAGGCTCTGGGTGGGCTCTGGGGGGTTTTGGGGCGCCCTGAGCCCCCGGCGCAGGTGCGGGCTCTGGGTTGGTTCTGGGTGGGCTCTGGGTTGGTTCTGGGTTAGTTCTGGGGGTGCTCTGGGGGGTCTCCGGGGGTCTCCACGGCGCCCTGACCCCCAGCGCAGGTGCGGGCTCTGTGGGGGCTCTGGGCAGGCTCAGGGGGGTCTCTGGGGGTCTCTGGGGGTCTCCACGGCGCCCTGACCCCCGGCGCAGGTGCGGGCTCTGGGGGGTCTCTGGGGGTCTCCGGGGGTCTCCACGGCGCCCTGACCCCCGGCGCAGGTGCGGGCTCTGGGGGGTCTCTGGGGGTCTCCGGGGGTCTCCACGGCGCCCTGACCCCGGCGCAGGTGCGGGCGCTGAAGGAGAAGATCGAGGCCGAGAAGGGCAGCGAGGCGTTCCCCGTGGCCGGCCAGAAGCTGATCTACGCCGGCAAGATCCTGAGCGACGACGTGCCCATCCGCGAGTACCGCATCGACGAGAAGAACTTCGTGGTGGTCATGGTCACCAAGGTGGGCGGGGGTCCTGGGGGGGAGCTGCGGAGGGAGCTGGGGGTCCCTGTGGGAAGTTTGGAGGGGCTGGGAGCCATTTGGGGGAACCTGAGGGGTCTCTGGGAGGGAGTTGGGGGTCCCTGTGGAAAGTCTGAAGGGACTGGGAGGGAATTGGGGGTCACTGAGGGGTCCTGGGCAGGGAGCTGGGGGTTCCTGTGTAGGGTTTGGAGGGTGTGGCGAGTCTCTGGGAGGGATTTGGGGGTCCCTGTGTAGGGTTTGGAGGAGCTGGGAGCCATTTGGGGGAACCTGAGGGGTCCTGGGGAGGGTTCCAGGGGGCTTGGAGGTTCTTAGAGCCATTGGGGGAACCTGAGGGGTCCTGGGAGGGAGTTGGGGGTCTCTGTGTAGGGTTTGGAGGGTCTGAGGGGTCTCAGAGCCATCTGGGGAAACACTGAGGGGTCCTGGGGAGGGAGTTGGGGGTCCCTGTGGAAAGTTTGAGGGGACTGGGAAGGATTTGGGGGTCCCTGAGGGATCCTGGGGAGGGAGCTGGTGGTCACTGTGGAAAGTTGGGAGGGTCTGAGGGGTCTCTGAGCCATCTGGGGAAACACTGAGGGGTCCTGGGGAGGGAGCTGGGGGTCCTTGTGGAAGGTTTGAGGGGTCTGGGAGGGAGTTGGGGGTCCCTGTGTAGGGTTGGGAGGGTCTGGGAGCCATTTCGGGAACCCTGAGGGGTCCTGGGGAGGGAGCTGGGGGTCCCTGTGTGAAGTTTGGAGGGTCTGAGGGGTCTCTGAGCCATCTGGGGAAACACTGAGTGGTCATGGGGAAGGAGCTGGGGGTCCCTGTGTGAAGTTTGGAGGGTCTGGGAGCCATTTGGGGAACCCTGAGGGGTCTCTGGGAAGGAGTTGGGGTCCCTGTGTGAAGTTTGGAGGGTCTCAGGGCCATTTGGGGGGGCCCTGAGGGGTCCTGTGAAGGGTTCCAGGGGGTCTGAGGCATCATGGGGGGATCTGGGAGGAAGTTGGGGGTCCCTGCATAAAGTTTTGAGGGGTCTCTGAGCCATTTGGGGAAGCCTGAGGGGTCTCTGGGAGGGAGTTGGGGGTCCCTGTCTAGGGTTTGGAGGGTCTGGGAGCCATTTGGGGGAGCCCTGAGGGGTCTCTGGGAGGGGGTTGGGGGTCCCCAGGGAGCCTTGGAGGGTCCCAAAGCCCTTTGGGGGGGGGGGGGGGTTCGGGGGTCTCAGGTGGC